CTTATTGGTGGCGGCTGCTTAAAATATGATGGAGTCTGTTGTTGGTGGAACTATGGTGGTGGTTGTTGCTAGTACTGCTTAAGCATTTTCTCAAGTTTATCGATCTTTTTCGCCAATTGTACATTTCTTTCCTCAGCAATTTCGGCCCTTTTCCTAGAAGCCTTATCACATGATGAGGAGGCATGTTGATGCTTTGGAGCCACAAAACCATGTCCGAATTCAAGACAATATCCCTTCCTTATGCTTAGGTTGGTTTTGCACTATCTCAACATCATTTATGATTGGACTCGTACCATCAGAATTTTGAGAATTTTGTGCAACCTTTTCTTTCATTGCATCTTGCAAAATATTTAAGTACGCAATCAAATTGAAAGAATATGGCATAGGAATAAATCATGTGCAAGCTAGAATATTAATCTCAATAGAGAGAAAAAAAAAATACTTATTGAAATGCTTATTTTTAAAATGGAAGGATGAGTTTGGACACACTGCAATGACAAATGACAACTGATATTAATTGTAAGCACTTTTTAACTGAAAGCAATCTACTTTAAGCAAACATTTTGAATACTTTACACATTCAAGATCTGATATTAGAAACTAGAAACAAAAATGTCCTTTTCTCAACATTTCATCATTCTCATCTCTCAAAGAAATTCATAATACAAACCAGACCTTTAAATTTATAAAATATCTCACTTGCACAACTTCTTTCAACTTTGGGATTTCTCACAAATACAAATACTCTTATTACTTTTAGAAATTCCTGGAGCATGTGAGGATGGGTGCGCAGATCATTTAAATGTTTTTTCTTGTATGTTACTATGTATACAAATGACAGTTTACATGTCTCTGTTTCTGTTTTACCCAATTTAATTGCCTCTTGATTTGACATGTTCATAGAGAAACTTGTTGACGAATTTGAAGTAACGAAAAGTAGATATAAAAATTTGCTGCAATGTGCTATTGTCTGTTGATACTTTTGTACAACCAGCTAAAGTGTAACTTCTGCTAGATTACTTGATATTTTTATTGATTGTTAGTAAGTTCTTTTCAATTAAAAAAATGATAATTCTTGAGAATACAAGAATATTTTGTGAGCACTGCTACATACTATTCAAATTCAAGCAACGATACATCTCAAAACTCATTTAGAATGTGAGAGGGCTATCAGCCTATCACGAAAAGAATTGCAGTTCATTTATAATTGGACAGTACCAATGTAAAGAATATGGATCACAATTTAATTGATTAAATTTATAAAATATCGAAGAGATAAGTGTTTTCTCACAAATACAAATACTCTTATTACATGCCCAACTAGGTTTTACTAATTTTATAAACAAAATGATAAATATAATAGAAACATAAAAAGGGCCTGAATTTGGGATTTCTCCAACCTTCAAAAATGAGATTTAGAATAATTTTCCATTTATTTATTTTATTTATATTTTTTTAGGGGCTTGGACTAACGAAATGTTAGAACTATTTTTTTATGTTCAAAATACAGTACTCCTAGTTTAAAAGATGGCCATTATAATTGCTATCCAAATTGTGGCATTATTCTAATATACATAAACAAAAAGTAAAGAAAAAATAAAACCCTAGATAGGATGAAGGCACCATCAACATCAAGGCTATCATTTAAGTAACTGTCATTGCACAAGTGTTTGGACATTTTAAATTAATAATTTTAATTTTTTATAAAACCAAAGTAGGAAATGATATTAGTATTTAAAATTTGTTCAGTAGCTTTAGAGCAATTTGAACATTTTAAAAATCAAATTCATACTCTTTTACACACTTATAATCAGATTAAGAGCAACTTTTTTTTTTTTTTTTTCTTTTTTCTCCACATCTCTCCTTAATTTGATTTTCATAGATTGCAAAATAGGAGCCAAAAGAATATATGTCATTAAGAATTAAGAATCCTTTTCCTCCAGGCCTTTTCGTAAACATATTTTCCATATTTGTCTTCTGTTTTCAGGACTTAAATTTGTTTTGCATTATTGTCCAGTTATTTTGATACTTGATGAATGATGGTTAAATTTTGCTGCAAGCTCTTTAGACATTTATAGATGGCTACTGCTAGAAATTTTGTGATAGCTTATTTTTGGGAAATTTTTTGTATAATCATAGTTTAATTTTCATGCTCTCTTTTATGATCTCCCTAATCACATTAACACAACTTTAAACTTCTTTCAATGTGAACCCTCTTTATCACATGGCCACAACATTTCAACAAATTATTCCCATTATTATTTTTATTTTTTAAACATGAAATGCAATGAATGAAAACCACACTTCATCCGCAACAATTCCCCACCTCCATTTGTGCACAAAAAATCAAGAATGGTCACTTAAAGGCATGTGACCCCCTATAAACTGCAAAAATGGTCACTTAAAGGCATGTGACCCTCTATAAACCGCAAAAATATTATGAGATCTAAATATCATAATCCAACATGCTAGCTTATAGTTAACTTACAAAATTCCTCTTAACTTTCTCGTGTGCCAATCTACTTTGTTCCTTAAAATGTGTGTCCTTGTACAAGCAAATAGCAGGATCCCCATCCCTTTCATCGTCCTCATCTTCTTGGCTCTACCTTTCTTTGAGTTTGACCTACAGTACAAAGTAATAGTGACCATTAGACAAATATATGGTTTAAAATGTAGAATATAAAATAAAAAATTTATAATTATTGTTTCATATATTATGTACATAAGCATCATAACGTTTGACCAAGGACATCGATCCAGAATAATGTGGAAACTCATTCTTGGAACGGTTTTCTTTGCCTTTTTCACTTATTTTCTAGTTAGTAATTCAAACAATATTACAAGTTAGGAAACCCAAAATATATATAATTGAAAAAAAATATATATATATATAATTTTTTTCCTAATAATCGTCAACAATTGAGATTCACAAGCACCGCCAAGCTTCAACCATATAGAAATTCTAGCAACATAATTACAAGAGAAATACACTTCCTTTTTTGTAAAAAAAAAAAAATAAAATCAAGTGATTAAGAAACAAAATAAGATTTAATGATTAAGAAACAAAATAAGAGTTAAGAGTCATATTGCATGATATGTGATACATTTTGCACTAAATATATATTTCAATGGCTTTTTAAAAATAAATTTTAAACTTTTCTTAACAATTATACTATGATATTATTTTGGGAAAATCTACATTTTAATGTTTAAAACTAGTTAAAAATGTGTATTGAAGTATGGGAGAAGTATTTGATATGTGATCAATGTGAGAAGTATCGAATACCGGTTTTTAAAATGAATTTGTTAATAAACAAAGAAACATGTTTTAATTTGAGTATTTGTTCATTGACTGTCATGGGTCAACTATCGCTAATGTTCATCTACTTTCATATATTAATGTCCATCTACCAAAGAACTCTCAATTATAGGTTGTTATTCTTAAACTAATTTAAAACTCAGATGGGATATTTTGAAGTAATGCCATAGCAGCAATAATGTAGAAAAAAAAATTATAGATGGAAATTTTTTTTGCTAAACATCTCTCAATAGAACAAGAAAATTCATTAAACGTTGCAACGACAATATCATTGATTATTTAACATGCACCTTTAGATGATAAAAGTGGAAAACCTAAGAATTCCAAATCTATTGTATAACATTATAGATTTAATAAAAGAAAGTCCAATGGAAAAAAAAAAAAAAATAGAAGAAATTAAAAACTTTAATGGATGACCAAATGGTCTGCAAAAGGGATGATCACTACAGGGGTTCATTTAAGCAGCAGCTATTTACTGGTTTAGTTGAGAACTTCCCATCATTTTTTGTCCTTGCTTTAGAGGAAATTGATACTCATCAAATAAAGAAATCTAATATATAAAAGCAGGATGTGCTTTGTTTAGTCCTAATATATTTTACATTTTCTTAACAGTAGATAATACCCTCATAGAAAAACTTTATTCATAAAAGTATCCTTATTCCTTTACTTATCAAAAAAAATAAAATAAAATAAAATAAATAAATAAATAAAAAACCTTCCTTATTCCTTACATCCCACTTACATGAATTGTGGTTTCCTATATTGACTCTTTTGCAACTATTCTATGATTCAACTTGGAAATAAGGTGAATTGGTATCAGGTCATCGCGGTGCAACCAAATTTGCATAGTAGTGTGCTAAGATAAGTGTGGCCAAGTTTTACATTTATAAGTTACCACTACTACCTTTCACTAAAAATATAGTTAGGGCAAGTAGGGATCGTCCCAAGGGATTGGTGGGTCATATTAGGTTGTGGAATCGAGATTAGGGATAGTAGGTCAAGTGATCAAAAGATTGGTTGGTGATTGAATTATACTAAGATGCAATTTAAACTAAAGTAAACAATTAAATGCAATGGAAAGAAAATAAGAGAGAGAGATTTTGGGGTTTAAAGATCACCACTAAGCATAGCTTTTCTACACCCTTAATGAATGATTAATGAAGGGGAAAATATGTATTGCAACAATAGTGTGTGTGTGGTTGTTTCAATAAGCGTGGACGACCAATTAAGTATATATTGTTTAGATAACACAATGAATATCACAATATATCAAACTAAGCCATTAATCATTCTTTAAGCTCACAATCCAAACACATCACAAAATTAGAGAAATATGATACTTGCATTCATAAGTGTGGAACATCAAACAACAAGCATGGATTGTTCTCCCATTTAACATCTAAGCTACAACTACACCACAATTAAGCTAATGACATGAAATTAAACTAATTAAACTAAGGGAGAGGCACAATCCATCAAGAAATGAGTATGAACCATCAAATAAACCACAAGAGCATTCTATTAAGCACTACGTCTTGACAATCTCTAGATCTATAGCATCAATACACATAGACATGCATCAACAACACAAGAAATAGAGATAAGCACATGAACATCTATTCTAGCATACATAGACATATGGATAGAATGAAATGGTCACTTGGAAGCATTAAACCATACAAATCATTGAATAAATAAGATCTATGTATATAACAATGTCAAAACATGTATCACAATACAAATCCCCTAAAAAATACATAAATCAAGATGTAGAAAGCATGCTTAGGGCTAACTCTAGCCCCAAAAGGATGTCTAGCCACTCATGGATGGTGTCCTCCAACCCTCAAGGGCTGACTCCATGGTAGAGATTGCTCCGCTTCTTGATTGATGGAAGAACTCCAAGTTTGTGTCTTTAGCCTCCTCTCTTTCTTTCTTCCTCACTAAGAATATCCTATAGAAATTGTGTCAAAAGTCTTTTTGTAAAAGAGGCTCATATTCCTTATATAGGTAGGTCAAATGTCTCCCCCAATGACCTGGGCTCGTGCACCAATATGCCTCCCAATGATTGGATATGAGACAACTTTTAATGAGCTGGAAATTGAATTTTCTTGAACTTGGGGAAGTTCGATCGATCGAACATTCTCTGAGATCGATCGAACATGGCTAAAATCTATCGAACTTAAGCTGGATCTATCCTCTATGGCGGCGCCTTTTTGGATAAAGACAAATCTGAGATATTTTGGAGATATTTTTTGGAAAAGAGAGAAAAGTGGTAGGTGTGGTGGTACAACTGGATAAGATGGAATCTCTTCGATCGATCTGAAGAAAGTAGGATTGATCGAACTTTGTAAAATCTTTGGATAAGGGTAAAATAGCTCAGATCCATCTTGAAGAGCTGAAATCGATCAGAGTTGGATCGATCGAACATTTACTGAGATCGATCGAACTTGCTGAATTTGCTGAATTTCCACCACTTGCTTCCTTTTGCTCCCACTTTGCTCCTTTCTTTGATTCATCTCAAGATTGCTTCGATTATGCTCTTATTTAGCTGAGTTATCTTATTTTGGGGATAAGTACCTGAAAAAGGTAATAACATGAAATTAGTCTAAAACGGGAAAGTAAGATAGATAAAGGTCCTAGAATACTTAAGCTTAAGGGGTTTAAATGCGCACTTTTTAGCGCTCATCATGAATACATGTTTTGCTCTCTTTCTACTTTACTACAAACTCTATTATACTTGAATAGAAATTCTACCAATTGACCTACAAGAAGAGAATATGTTTTTCTTCTATGATAGCAGACTTATTGTAAAAAGATGTTATTCTACAACAGTTTCTCATTTCTTTTCCCTAGATCATAAGATCTCCCAAGTAAATAGTTTCTCTTGGTTTTCTCTGCAAAATTCTCAAAAAATTAGCTGTTCCTGGAAATTTTTTGTCCTTAACTTGATCTTTGCTTCAAATTGTCTTGGAATATAATTCATGTGTTATAATGTGAGATAAATTTTAGTAACATGATACCTGTGATCTAAAAGTTATTTTCATGCTCACATATATTGTTCGTCATTCCTATGATTAGTTCTTTTCAGTGTTCTCCCTCATCATCTAAGTGATTTTGATATGCTATCCAACTCAGAACAGTTTAACACTATCCTCCAAAATTTCATGTACAAACATGTTGTCCTTTATTATGATTGATCCCTGCCATCTATGATTTCCACTAAATCATTCTGGGTCATTCGAGACGCAATGGTCTTGGTCATTCCTTTTTGAAGTTAGATAAAGCCTTTTTCTATATATGTGTGTGTATAAATAAAAAGGCCATTACCTAATATAGTCTCCATTAATAATCAGGGGTGCTGGAACTGGAAGGGACAAAACTATATTGTGACATAATTTTTGGCATTATTTTTATAAAGTGCTACTATGGGATTGCAACAACCAAAAAGTGGTAAAAAAAAAAAAAAATTAAAAAAGTGTAGATCAAATATTAGATAGAAATTCTACAAAACTCATACCTAAATCAACCTCAAATAAATAAACAAATAAATAGTATAGAGAAGCAATCTAAGCTAGTCAATTGAGATATGAAGAAGAGAGTGAAACATACCTCTCGGCAAATAGATAGCCGCCAATAAAAGAAGTAGTAGAATGTTGAGTGATTAAATCTATTGTCTAATAATGAATGAGTAAAGAAACAACATAATAAGAATGAAAATAGTACACAATTTTTTTATGTGTTCGTGAACTAATGAATGAATTGCATATATATATATATATATATATATAAAGGATATATATACATACATATTTATATGTATATGTATATAAGGGATAAATTAATAAAGATAGAAAGTTCAAACAAACTGTATGATTTCCAACAGCGATTCAGACTTAGACAAAAAGCTTTTTCCAGATTTGTAATTTACCCCTTCAATTGTTAGGCCTTTTGTAATTTCAAAACCCTAAAACATGTATTTACATAAAAAATAAAAAATAAAAGAAAAACTAGGGTGAGGATCATGAAACCGAAGTGGGTTATATGAACGTCAAATCAAACATTGAGGTTCTCTGAAAATCGAAGAAAGAGGCTCAAACTTGAATAATCCGTAAAATTTTGCAAAAATAAAAACGTAGTACCTCAGGATCATCGTCTTCTGATTCGGTGAAGATTGAAGATGCTTTGAACGAGCTATTGAATTCTGTGAAAATCAAGCCCAAAGAATGTTTAAGAAGAACTGAAGAGGTTTGTAAATGATATAGGTCTTTATATTTCGTGACAGTGGAAGAGCTTTGCAACTTTTTAGAAGAACTGAAGATCGGGGTTTGCAAATGATATAGGTTTACTAATTTTTTTAGACCAAAACGACGTAGTTTGATGCCTCTTCCCTATTTTGTAAAAAAAAAATAATTTTATATATTTCATTTTTATGCAGACTATAGCGCCAAACAAAAAAAAACAAAGTGCTAAAATTTAGTGCTACTTTTTCGGCAGAAATGGGGACAGTATTTAATAGACCGTGCCAAAAAATAACGTCTTTAGGGATAGTTTTTAGGGTATTGGTGACATATCAGATTGACTGTCCCTAAAGGCTAGTATTAGGGACGATAAAATTTGCCCGTCCCTAATAATAAAATCTTTAGGGACAGTTTTTTAGTGCGTCACTAAAGGACTGTCCCTAATAGCCTAATTTCTTGTAGTGATCATTTCAATGTCTAAGACATGATTAATACATCATTATAAGGTTCATAGGGTACCATTACAACATCATATAGTATGGATGGTTGGTCACAAAAGAAGAAGAAGGCAGAATAGAAGAAGTCCAAGAACCGGTTGACGTGAAGATGGTACCGGCTGACTCGACCTACTAACATTGTTTTATATTACAACACATATTTCCCTTAATCCATCAAATATTGAATGTCTAGGAAGGTTATGCTAAGTGGCGAACTCTATGACCCAAGACTCCTCTATCTTATTCTCTACACCTTACTTAATTTAGTTATTTAATTGGATTTGTTTAGTTTAAATTGTAGTTTAATCCAACCACAAGCCATTTTTGATCACTCGACCTACTAATCCAATATTGTTTCCATAACAATACCGCTTCTTTCCCTTGGGACGATCCCAACTCACTCTAGCTACATTAATAGTTAGTAGTGGTAGTTATATTCTATAAATTCAAACTTGGCCACACTACACACTTTTAATGCAACTGGTACGAGACACACCAAGTTTTGGCGCCGTTGCCGGGGATAGGTAACGCCATATTTTGGAAACAATTAGGAATTAGTACTTTTTTTATCTTGTTTTTATTTTGGTTATTTATTGTGTTTGTTCTTGATTTGGCTAGGTGCATTGAACAAGGGAAGTGTAACAAGGGAATTCTAAAGCAAAGAGCTAAGCTAAGCAAATCAAAGGCATAAAAAGCTAAAAATAAAAAATTTACAAAGCAAAAATTGAAAAATGATTTGAAGTTACTTAAAGACCCTTTGTGAGCTTTTCTAACTCTTTCCCTAGTTAAATCGTCGGCCCGCGTGGTGGCAAGTTTTAAATTCTTAGATAAATCGTGAACCCGAGTGGAGGCAATTTACTTTCCTTGCATATTGTTCAAAGCATGGGAGTATGGGATAAATATCTGTGGAGGTTTGTTGATTGATTTGTTGCGGAGGAGAAGTACTTGTTATATTCTTGTTGTGATTTGTTTGTTTGTTTTGATAGTGTATGCATGGTCGTAGATCATTGAATCATACTCTTGTCCCACTTGATTCACATCTTGAATCGGTTGTTCGTAATCCTAGGGGAAAAGGTAAATCTAGTAACTCCATTTCATCAATGGAGGAGCTAAATGAAGATCATGTGGAGGACCTTGGTCACATCGACCAATAAGGTATCCTCCACCCTAATGTGCATCATGACAACATTCAAGTTCCATTAGGCATGCCAAGACCCTTCATTCCACAACAACAATAAGGCCAAGTTCCATTAGGAATGCCTCAGCCAATTTTTGTTCCACCCCTACCTCCCGTTGCTCAGGTGAATCATGGTGCTCGCGTCGAACCACCAATTGTGAATCCTCCTTTTGCTTTAAGAGATCGATATGTGCCAAATGAGTATAATGCACCAATATGCATTCAATTACCTCCTTTTAGAGCCCACCATTATGAAATCGAACCTCAAACTATTCAAATGCTTCCTAATTATCATGGGCTACCAAGTGAAGAACCTTTCAAGCATTTGGATGAGTTTCTTGAAGTGTGTTCCACCGTGAAATACACTGACATGCCAGAAGAAGTTTTGAGACTTAAACTCTTCCCTTTTACCCTTAAAGATAAAGCGAAGTACTGGTTTAATAATTTGAGGCCTTTTTCGATAACTACTTGGGCAGAGATGCAACAAGAGTTCTTGAAAAAGTATTATCCGATATCAAAGACCAATTCAATGAGAACTTCAATTCGAGAATTCTCATAAGGGGATGGGGAATTATTTCATGAGGGATTGAACAACTTGCTTAGGAAGTGTCCCCACCATGACATTCCTAAATGGCAATTGGTCCAATTTTTCTTTAAAAGTTTGTCGGATAATTTTAAAGGAATGGTTGATGCTTCTATGGGTGGTTCATATCTTGATAGGTATAAGGATGATGTATGGCATTTATAAGAGAGCATGAGTGAGAATTCAATGCATCGATCCTTGTCTTCCAAAAATGGTAGAAATCTAGGTGGAAGAAAGAATGTCAGCTTGTATCGAGTTGACAATTCCAATGACATAGCCGCCAAAGTCAAGTCTTTATCTCAAAGGTTTAATCAATTTTTGATCAACCAAAATTCGGTGAATCAAGTATCTTCCTCCCCTAGTCATACTTATCATCCATCTAATGAATCATGCATGACTTGTTCTAGTGTCTTACATTCTACTTCCAATTGTCCCCACGGATATGTGCAAAATGAACACCATGAACAAGTGAATGCCGCATTTGTCAACCAAGGGAATAATCCTTATGGCACTAACTACAATGCCGGGTGAAGGAACCATCTAAACTTCTCTTGGAAAAGCCAAGGGGAAGGCTCAAACCCTCCCCAAAGTGGTTTTCAAGGAAAGTATGTTCCGCCCCCAATGCAAAGCCAAGGTTCCTAAGGTTATAGATCGTCATACCAAGCACCACATGGAAACCAATTTTCAAACACTCACTTTCCAAATCAATCTTCATATTCTCAAGGGAACTCAAGGAGTCCCGCATTTAAGGAAAAAATGTTGACAGCTTTGGGTACTTTAGAGGCAAACACCCAATTATTTCATTCTCATTCCGTATCAATTGCGAAGCTAGAAACCTAAGTTGGGCAAATAGCTAGTACATTGAATACTAGGGAAAAGGGGAAGATGCCTTTGAATCTACCACCCAAGCAATAATTTGTTGTGGAGACCAATTCTTCCTCAGAAGGTCGCACAATTGAACATATCAATGCGGTGACAACTTTGAGAAGTGGAAAGATTATGGATAATCAAGTTGGTATTCGAAATGAAGAGAGTGAACTGGTGCTACCAAAAGTTGACACTTGTCCCGTTTCACATCCTATTCCTCCTTCATTGCATGTGAAAGATTCTTTTGTTGAGAATGATTTGAAAAATGATTTAAAAAATTATTATGTTGAAAATATTTTGAAAAAGGATTTTGACAAAGTTTTTAAGCCAAAAGCTCTATTTCCGGATGCCTTAAAAAGATCCAATTCTTTTGAAAAGCAACAAGGCAAAGTCAATGAGATAATTGAAGTGTTTAAGCAAGTGAAGATCAATCTTCATCTCTTTGATGCAATTAGACAAATTCTAGCTTATGCTAAGTTTTTGAAAGATCTTTGCACCCTTAAGAGGAAGAACAAGAGCTAAGCACCAAAAAATGTTGTTTTGACTAAGCAAGTAAAATCCATTTTGCAACATAACAAACTTCCAAAATTCAAAGACCCTGGTTCACCTACTACTTCTTGCATCATTGGTGACCATGTCATGAATCGAGCTCTTCTTGATTTAAGAGCAAGTGTGAACCTTCTTCCATACTCGGTGTATGTTTAATTGGGCTTAGGAGATTTAAAACCGATGTCGGTAGTGTTGTAACTAGCCAATCGATCTATTAAAAAGCCCTGGGGTATTATTGAGGATGTGTTGGTCAAAATTGATAAGTTCTTCTTCCCGGTCGATTTCGTAGTTATTAACACGGAACCGGCCGCAAATCCCAAGAGCCAAATTCCTGTTATCCTTGGTCGTCCCTTCTTGGCAACCGTTAATACCAATATAAATTGTAGGACAGGGATAATAAAAATTTCATTTGGGCATATGAAGGTGAAGTTGAACATTTTCAATCCAACCCCTAATTCTTTGGACAAGTATAAAGAAGTATGTGTTGTAGAAAAATGTATTAAAAATGAATTTACTAAAAATGAGTCTTTGCTTAATGTTAAAACTTCAAAAGGGTTATCTTCTAAAAATTTTTCAAAAGATGTTATTTTTTAACCAAGTATTGCAAGGGCATGGAAGCCCAAAGATTTGTTTGATCAAGGGCCATCAATTCCATTTGAACCAAATCCTACAAGTTCCCTAGTGAATAGTTTATTGGGTGGGGTTCAAAGTTATTTTCACCCCATTAAGGAGGGGATGCATAAAAAGATTTTTAATCCGAGCTAAAAAGCCCAACTTCTTGCTAGAGACATTAAACACTAGCATTCGTAGGGTTAACAACCCTATTCCTCCCTCATTTCTATTTTACTTTCATTTCTTGCGTCGTCTAGATATATTCTTGGATCATATACATTGTTTAAGACTTTGATAGGGAATACATGTGCTTTCATCTTCAAATTGGGCATTTAGTGCCTATTCGATCGATCACAAAAGAAGTTCGATCAATCAAACATCATCTCTGCATATTCCCATCTCTTTGTTCCATCGTACAAAAATTCTCTACGTATTTCATCTATCTGTGTATCGTGCGAACTTTCTCTCAGATCGATCCAAGAATTCCTCGATCGATCCAGTTTTCCCTTGAATTGATCTTAATTCTATACTAAGAAAAAATTTTGAATCTCTGAAAAATCATTCCTTTGTGTATCGTTCGAAGTCTTCTGCAGGTTTTCACCTGTTGGATCGATCGAGTTTCGATCATTGTCCGATCGATCTGTGTTCTTCCATTTGACTTTGACTTCTTTTTGAATTTCAAATTTAAAAAAAAAAAATTTCAAAAAAAAAATATCCAAAAATATTTTTAATTTCCAAAATTTTAAAATTTCAAAAATATTTTGTTGTTT